GCAAGAATCTCAGGACAAACACAACAAAAGGCCTTAAATAAATAAATAATTGCCTATTCTGTCTACATAAGGGAATTTGCTGGCTTTTTCTTGAATTTGGCACCTAAAGTGAAGCATAAAAATACCTTCCATAAAATCAGGATACTCACCTCAAAGCAGCCTTTAGACCATTGACTAGATTGCAAAGTGATGAGAGACCCGGTTTGTGCTCTTGATTCTGCCATGTTGGACTTACGTGGAACACGTGCCTTTCTGAGGCTAAGCGAGGGATTGATATTTAGATATTATGTGTTTATTTGAACAGAAAAGAAATTGTCAAGGTCCCTCACATAGATGTGGTGACTTGAGGGGAGGCTGGATCTAGAACTTGTTTATATCTCATAGGGCCCTGGGCTACTGACAGGCTGGTTACAGCCGTTCACGTGTGAGCTGCAAAACCTCCCAGCCCAGTGCTCAGCCCGTTTTCAGCGTGGAGCTTGTCTCTCTCTTATGCTTTGTCCAAGTGGTCATCGGGAGCTTTATCGTGCCATTCCTAGAGGAATAGAGATCAGGCAGACACTAGAATCACTGGGAGTTGGGACAACTTAAATCATCAAGCCCCACTCTACCCCGATGCAAATTGTGGTCTCAGGACCTCAGTCCCTTTTCCTTGTTAAATGGCACTATCTTATGGATTCATCAAGATTCTCCCAGATTGGAGTCGTTTCCCTCACGGAAGTGTGGGCCCTTTGTCCTTCTAAGGCCCGCAGGTAGATGCACATGCTACCTCCAGAAGCCAGGCAAGTACCCTAAATGTTTTAAGTGAGCTGGGTGAAAACAGCAGCAAGCTGGAAAGAGGTGGGTAACCTTGTTCAAATTTTTTCTTATTTTCCTTTTCTTTCTTTCTTTTTTTTTTTATGGCAACACAAGAGTGAAATCCAGTGTTGCCTAGTCATCTTTTTTCAGTGTAAGCCAGAGATGTAATTTCATCTTAAGTGTACTAAATTTTCATAACTTTCTAAGATTTAAAAAATACATTGTCATTGGAAATATTGTAGTTCTTGAGGGAAGAGTTCATGGTGTTTTTTTAAATATTTTCTTTCATGATTTACATACATAAGTGTTCTTTAAACATTCATGGAAAGAGCATATTATGAAAAAAATATGCATAGATTTCAGATTTTTCATACCAAAATAAACTCATAGTTTACTTCCAAATTTTCACCTACTTTTTCAAGTTCTCTCATACTTTATATAGAGGAATATTTTTAAAAATTATCTAAACGAAGGCAAATTCAGAAAGTGAAGAGCATATGATTAATAATTTTGTTATGTATAAAGACTTTTCTTTTCAAAGGTTACATTCTCCAGCTCCCTATTTTAAAGGCATGGTAAAAGAAGTATTTGTAAAGGGTGTGGGTTGGCAGGAAGACACTCAGGCTGGAGTTATCCTGGTACATTCAGGACCAGTTAGACATGATCAGTTTCAGAGAAGGCTCCCCAGTGGGCAAAGGCTGGACTACATGTATTTGGAAGGGTAGAGCCAGATTATGGAGCATCTTGAAAGTCAGAGCAGAGGCTTTCAGATGTATACAGCTGGCAGTAGGAAGTGATGTTTGTTCTCGACAAGGAGAGAGCAGTGGAATGCAGAGCGGAGCAGAGGTGCAGAGTGGATGAGAGGCTCAGCCAGATGGCGTAGTCTTTAGTGTGCTGACTGCACAGCTATAAGCCACAGAGATGCAGGTTTGCATCCTGAGTCGAGACCCAAAAACACACTGGGCCTGTCCAACAGGCACCCAGGATCCCAAGAAGCTGGAGGACTGGGGAAGGGGGTCGCGGCAGTGTAACAAGACCCTGTAGAGGAGGGATCAGCAGGTGGGGGGTGGCGTGGTGGTTAATCCCACATTGCTGATCGCAGTTCGAGTCCTGGACCTGAAGTCTTGCTTTCTCACTTCCCCTCCCTCTCTCATGAGTGCACATGCCTTGTAACAAATGTAAATTATAATAATGATGATTGGTAAAATTAAATAATTATTAAAAAAAAAGATCCTGTAGAAGGTCTGTCACTCATTCACTCTTTCTCTATCATGGGCATATACATGCTATCATTAAAAACAACAAAAACAGAGACCAGCAGATTACATAATGGCTACGTCGCTGGACTCCCCTGTAGTCGACTGCGGGTTGAATCCCAGACCCGGTGGGTTAAAATCACGGCATATGCATGCATGCCCAAGATCCTGAGAGAAGAATGGAGGAGAAGGGATTGCAGCATGGCCGTCCTCCCTGGGGGTTGATTTCTCCCTTTCTTTCTCTCTCTCTTTCTCTTTCTGGCAAGCGCACGCACCCTATAGCAAAAACCTCTCAAAAAAAAAAAAAAAAAGGCAGAATGGATAGTAAGATGGATGATTTATTTTCAAGAACTAGAATGCAGGCACAGTTTATTAGTACAGCCAACAAACATTTACTGAACACCCACACACCCACAGTGTACTGCATACCTTCCTATAAATTAGGACACACCAGATAAGAAGGGCATGAGCCAATGGGGAGTCAGGAGTTTTAAGAGGACCATCATGTTTCCCCGAGGAGCAGAGATGATGACTGAGTTGGTGTTTGTAGGAAGAATGGAGGTGATCAGATTAAAGAGCAAGGACAGTATTACAGTCAGAAATGCCAGCTGAATTACATGGTGTGAGGAGGAGCCCGTGGCTCTCTTCTGGGCTTGGAAATATTAGTAAGACATTAGATTCAAGAGCAGGCAAGGGGTGACAGGTCCTGTAGGCCTTGAAGCACTGCCAAGAGAAGGCACAGTGAGGCGGCAGGAAGAGAAGCAGGAGAAAGCAGAAGAGCTTTGGAAAGGACACTCAGATCAGAGGACAAGATGGGCTAGTTCCGTGTCCTAGAAGCAAGGGGAGGAAGTAGAGTTTTAACTGCAGCCCTGAACAGAGAGTGCAAAGGACAGCCCCTGAAGAGAGAGAGTTTGGCCAGGAGGAGGTTATTTGTGGGCTCGTACTGCCATCTCCAAATAGGGA